TATATGCATCTACGTCAATGATAAAGAATCCGTCATTATCTCAACTCCACCATTCATCCAATCTATTTTGGGGCAGTGGCACAAAAATCTTCTTATTAAAAAAGTGGACACAGCCGGCGAAGTGTTAGTGCGAGTGCTGAACTTAATTGCCGAACCCTTGACAGGTATGTCTGGGTGTTGCATAGGTCTAACGTATGTTCACGTATACCTGTACGAACCCTAAAGCCCTAAAACCCTACAACGTATACCTGTACGGCTGTACGTGTATGTACCCTAAAACCCTAAAACCCTAAAACTGAAAATGTATAGCGGTACCACTATGCATATATACATGTTTATGCCTGCTTAGCTCGGACGGTGTTGTAATGATATAACTGAATGCTGTATGCTCACGTGTAGTTGTATGACTGTACATATATGTAAGGTATGTACACGTATACATGCACATATACATGTACGTGTACATTTACGTTATTTTTGTTTTCTCATTCCTGGGTATCAGCAGGTGTGCTCGTACATTACATGATGTACATATACGTTGAGTTTAAGTGCATTTAAGTTTCTGAATGTCTACACAAAAAATACATATCTGCCATAGTACCACTTGAACTACAATATATGGTACATCTCACACTCATATACGATACACCCCGTTTATACCACTTGAATTACAAGGGATCGTACATCTCACACTCATATACGTTACATCACGTTCTACTGTTTACCGTTGGGCGTTGGCTGTACTGCAGAAGTGGACCAGTACAGGATATTCAAACCCAATGTCGACCCAGTGGACGGTGAAGAGCCACCGACGCACCCGAACTATCACAAAGACGGCAAGTTCATCAAGAATCACAGAATGATGGGCGATTCACACATCAAGGACAATGTAAGTGGATGTGATAAGACAATGTAAGTGGATGTGATAAGACAATGTAAGTGGGTGTGTATAAGATAATGTAAGTGGGTGTGTATAAGATAATGTAAGTGGGTGTATATAATATAATGTAAGTGGATGTGATAAGACAATGTAAGTGGGTGTATTTATGACAATGTAATTGGGTGTGCATAAGACAAAGTAAGTAGGTGTGTAAAAGACAATGTAAGTGGGTGTGCATACGACAATGTAAGTGGGTGTGATAAGACACTGTAAGTTGTTGTGATAAGACAATGTAAGTGGGGGTGTATAAGACGATGTTAGTGGGTGTGTATAAGACAATGCAAGTGGGTGTATATATGACAATGTAAGTGGGTGTGTATAAGACAATGTAAGTGGGTGTGTATAAGGTAATGTAAGTGGGTGTGTATAAGACAATGTTTATGGATGTGCATGACTGTGTCTCCATTGTACACGCCAGTTCATCCTATACTTGATTGTCAATCTATCTTCAGAGTGCACCGCAGTACCCCACACATTTGCTCAAAGACCATCTGTACACTCAACTGTATGTGTCTCTAATACACATGCCACAGTACACACTATACCTGATTACCAATGTATCTTCAGAGTACACCGCAGTGCCCTACACATTCGCTCAAACAAAGACTGTATGTGGCTCTATTACAACTGTATGCGACTCTGTTACACATCTATGCCTTTATTGCAACTGTATATGCCTCTACTACACATACCACAGTACACACTATACCTACTAAAGAACAACAAGGTAGGTAGTCTGGCGGTGGTGGACAAGAAAGAGAAGAAGGTTAAGTCCAGAAAGAACAGCGCCATTAGCGTTGATGTGAGCCGTTTATTCGGTGTGAATTTGGAGATGGGTGCGAAGGTCAATAATCCCCATGCCGTGGTTCCGTATCCGATCTTTATTGAGAAGGCTCTGGTCTATCTGCAGGCCAAAGGTACGTGCGTGTGTGTGAGAAAGAGAGGTGAGAGTGTGTACGTTGTAGCTAGTGTCAGGGGAAGGCTTTAGTCTATCTAGTTTATTGCTATAGACGATACTCGTGCTATGATGAAATATCTGTTGATGTAGTGTTCATTGTGGTATCGTCGTAGTGGTATTCATATACAATGCGTGCTCGTGGTAAGCACTTACGCAGTGTACTTTTGCACATGTGTTACGTAACATGTATACATGCAATATATACATCGATATA